CGAGACTTGTATTACTTCCCATTTAGGTTTGAGAGGTTCGAGTACTGGTCCCTTACTCTTTTCAGGACTAGATCGCCGAATTGATATGAGCGTGGCTTGAACTGGGATTAAAAGACTGAACTACAAGTTTAGTTGGATGAAAATGTCTTAGAGGATTCTGAGGATCTTGATGTTCTCAAGTGGTTGAAAATTAATTCAGGAAGATTTCCTGTTCTTTCGCAATTAGGACGTGATATTTTAGGAGTCCCGATCTCAACCGTGGCTTCAGAGTCTGTATTTAGTACCAGTGGAAGGGTTCTTAATGTGTTTAGGAGTTCATTGACTCCAAAGATTGTTGAAGCATCGATATGTGCACAAGATTGGCTTCGAGATTCAAATAAGCCTTTAAATGTTGAAGATTTGAAGAACTACATGATGAGGTTGAAAACTTTGAAAAAGGTAATACAATTCAGTTTATTTATTTATTTTCTGAATCTTGACTTTCCATATCGTACTAAACTTCTTGCATTATATTTTATGTTGTGGAGATACCAAATGTGGGTATCAGACCATCATTATTAAACATATGCGACTATGTTTGCTGCTGCTGAATGTTGTGATGTGATCTGATGCTTCCATCTACTATGTTGATGTTGTTTGCTCGTGCTTTGCTATTTTTACTACTCTTTTGTTGCTTTCGTTGCCGTTTTGCTATTTTTTATGAAATGTTGTCGGTTGCATCTTTTTGCTATTTCTCGTATTGTCTGACCTTCTAGTTAGTGTAAGATTTTTGTTGTTTTTCATTGCTTATCGGTTATTAAGCATATGTTTTCTATGGAGTGTGGACTTATGCTATGGGATTGAGTTGTGCCTGGTGATGACTGATGATATGTTTGGAATGTATGTGTAGTTGTGTACTACTTCGATGGTTATTGGTTAGTGTTATTTGCTTTGTAGAATACTAAAATGAGATCACTTTTGGAATGTTGTCGATTTTATCAAGTCATTTTGTTAGTTGTTAAACATTTGCAAATGAGATTGTTATTAATAGCTTCATGCAGTGACCAAACCAATTCGCAAAACCGAACCGAGTCGATAATGTGTAGTTCAATTTTTAATGCTTATTCGGTTCGATTTAGTTTGCTAAGTTATTACAATTTCGCTTTTCACTTTTTTCGGTTCGATTTGATTCTTGAGCCGAACCGACGGTGTTGACCCCTAATCATTGAAGCATAGTCCACCACACACCTGCCTTCGTTTTTCTATTTGATTTTTCCATCACACAGCCAATATCCAATCAATTTCTTCACAAAATCCAAATAAACAACCTCTCTGAGACGAGAAAACCAGGTGATCGGGTTTCGAGGAATGGCCCGGATCCAACTCGCCATCGTTGCTCTCCTGATCCTAACCATTGAGCCCTCTTCATCCGCCCGATCGTTCATCCAGTTGCCTACCGACAGAATCTCCGGTCGATATGGGGACGTTGACTTGCATTGCGGGAGCTGGAAGTTTACAGTGGAAACCAACAGCGCCGGCACCTGGAGCCAGGTCCCCCAGGAATGCGTCGATTTCGTGAAGGATTACATCTCTGGCGAGCGGTACTTGTCCGATTCGGACGCCGTGGCCGGCGACGCGGTGGCTTTCGTCAAGGAGGCACAAGTTTCCGGCAACGGGAAGGATGCCTGGGTTTTCGACATTGATGAAACTCTGCTTTCCAATGTTCCATACTACGCCGTAAATGGATATGGGTAAGGGTTTCCATTCTCTATTCCTAGAATTTCGAAAAATCGTGTAGAATTGAGGGATTTCAGTCAGTTGTTACCAGCTCATTATAGATAGGAAAATTTCTGTAGATGTTTTAAGAACAAAACCTTATGAACACAGAATTTTGATTTACTGGACCATCCAAATTAGTCTAGCTGATCAAAAGTCGAACCGAATTGTTTTCTTTAATGAACTTGATCATGTTCGATTCCGCAACTTCTCGAATGTCAACCGAAAGATTTAGTACAAAATTACCGAGGTATAATGATATAGAGGTTAAGAAGAGTTGCCTGTTGATTTGGTATATGGATGAAAAACTAGTCTTTTAGGGACAAATAGCTATTTGAGGGGCAGCAATGTCCAAAGTGAATGTGGATTATTATCTGAATGGTTTGTTCCTAGACTGTTTGGATTATTGATTCCAATACCCAATGATTCATGGCATAGAAGCAATTGCTCAATCTGTAACCTTCTTTGGGAACTCCTCTTGGTATTTCACCGGTACAGTTGTTTTGTACCCTTAAACAGAAACTCTTGTATTCCCGTAAATTTTTTTTTGTTGTCCTTTTCATGTTATACACAGATCTGCTAAATTTGATGAAGTTAGTTTTGACAACTGGGTGGACTTGGCTGAGGCTCCTGCTTTATCTGCAAGCTTAAGATTGTACAAGGAGCTTCAGTCCCTCGGGTTTACGATATTTCTACTGACCGGGCGGAGTGAATTTCAAAGGAATGCCACTGAGGTTAACCTAATGAATGTTGGATACACAGGCTGGAAAAGGCTTATCTTGAGGTGACTAACAATCTAAATCTTAATTATTTCCTTATTTTCAATATTATCATCATCTTCTTCTTCTTCCTTTTTTTTAAAGTATCTATGTTCCCCTTTCTCGCGTTCGTCCCATGCCAATCAATATTTCAGAAGACATGTTCTATGTTTAAAAGAAAAGAAAAAAGAGGGTTGTAAGAAGGTAAAATTGATTTGTTTTTTGGTTGATGAAATAGGGGAGACTCTGATCAAGGGAAGGATGCCTCAGTCTACAAATCCGAGAAGAGAAAAGAGATTGAAGATGAAGGCTACATAATTCAGGGCAATTCTGGTGATCAATGGAGTGACTTGACCGGATATGCTGTGGCCAGACGATCGTTTAAGCTGCCTAACCCGATGTATTACATCCCCTAAGCGTCGTGAATGGGGAATTGGTTGTGTTGGGTTGTTTCTGGATTTTATTCTTTTCTCCAAGGCATTTGATGACTCAATTTGCTGGCTTGTTCAGGTCTGTGATATAGTTATGTAAGCTGGTGAAAGTGTTTTCTGGTGTCTTGTGTTCTTACCAAATTATCTGGTAACTTCATTCCTGATGGAGACGAGACCGGCTCGGATTCGCGGCCGAATCCTTCCCAACCGGGGGAGGATGATGGAGACGAGACCGCGATAGCGTTTTTAAATAAATATGATCGTCTCCGTATTTAGTTTGGTTTATTTATCTTTAGTAGTCTTATTTATTATGGGGTTCTTTCTATTATTATTATTAGTATTGGGTCCTTTTGGATATTTTCTAAACTTGTGAGATTAGGGATTTCTGATGTAATAAAAGGATCGTCTTCTCCCTTTAGAAGACAGACTTGATTATTGAAAATTTGAGATTTCTCTTGGAATTTGTTCGTGTTCTTCCCATTCATACTTACGCTCTGCATCAATTCCATTATGCAGTCTCTGTCTCTCTGATGTAAATTTCATTAGGATAATAAACAGGTGCTGTTTGCGATTCCAGTTCTAGTTTTGGCAGATTATGGCTCTATAACATTACCATTTGATGATTTCTTATACTATTTTAAGGTCTGTAGGAGCTTTGAACAGAGTTTCTAAGGGGGCGTGGTTGGATATAAATATATCTGCTCAAACCGAGTTTTTCTTTTTCTTTTCTTTTTTTTTTAAACAAGGCTAAATTTAAAAAAGTTTGTGGTGTTAGATGTTAGTGGAAGTTTTGAGTTTATATTAAAATAATTAAAGTTGCTTTAATATAAAAATACGGGAGATATGGTACAAAGTGATAATCAATTAAAATTATGTTATGTAAAAATGATTAATAGATATTATTTAATTAAGTACAAATCGAATAATTTATAAACAAACACACCATTAAACCTCGCTGCATGTATCATAAATCTACTCATCCAATCCAACAGGTAGCAGTAATAGGTCAAAAACAAGTCTGCAGAGTTATGTGTCAGGCGGTTAATATAAAGTATCTGCACCGACAGCATACTTCAAAGGATTATTTGACACGTGAGTGGCTATGATTATCACATGTTGATAGGCTCCACATGTTAGTCGTCTTGGAGCCGACCACTTGCCTCCCCTGATATTTTTAAAGGCATTCAATTTCAGCAGTGAGGATTTAATCATTTACGAAAACTGGATGAATTCATGTGTTCTGTAATATGAACATAAATTGCGGAACTAAAAATAAATCAAGTTTGTTAGGGTTATGAAATTTGATTTGAAATGCAATGTAATTCATTCATTCTTAAAGTCTAACATTATAGAATCTTGGTACTTTGATATTGGGTGCTCGCGTCACATGAACGACACTCGTGAGTTCTTGTCCAATGTAGAACCTTATGAAGGTGGCGTGTTACATACGAGGGAGGTGAACGAGTAAACACTCAATGTTGATGACCTCCCAAAGCTTCAGAACGTTTTGTTGGTTGATAGAATTAAGGTTAACTTGATTACCATAAGTTACCTTTTGGAATGATAATCTCCATGTTAAATTTGATCATAATTCTTGTGAAATTTTCAATGAGGCTAATCATTAAAATTTTGAGAGAAAACTATTGACTCTTCAAAACAAAAGAATAATATTTTAAATAGAACTCTTAAAAGATCTTGTTAAATAATTTGCCCAACAAGTAAATTACTATGATAGACATATAGAGCATGCTTAATTGGAGTTGTTTTGTTTTGATTGGATTTTTGGTTTGGTTTGGTTAAATTTGAAAAAGTTGGTATGATTAATTGTTAGTGGGTATATTAAAATAATATTTAAAATAAAATGATTAAAATTAAATTGGTGTAAAAGTAGGAGAGAAGATGTGATGTGATAATTAGTTAAAATTATGTGAGTAGATGAATAGTAATTTAAGGTTGATGTTGTGTGTAAGAATGATTGATTGATATTATTTAATTATATTAATAATATTGATGATAGTGAGTTGAGTTAAAGTTGACTTAAAAAAATGGTTAAGTTAAAAATGATTAGATTTTTTGAATTGAATTTATATCCAAACATGCTCATAAATTGCCTACTAATCTCGGATGCAAATAATAATAAGAAAAAAAAAAGAAATAAATAATTAAACCAATATTGTTAAACTGTCGTACTTGTCGTCGTCATCAATCATTGTATATATATACATATCTATGTATATATAATAAAATTAAAATGGAAATTGAAGAATCTATATAATGTTAGTGTAACTACTTAAAATATATGACATAATCCAATCTGATATGGGATATTACACCCAAAAGAAAAAACCGGCCGAATAAGGCAGTCTAACGAACCGATCGAGCGAACCAGTCGAACCATTCTGGTCGAGCAAATATGGAAAAGGTGATCATGGTCGAACATTACGAGAACAAGAGTCTCTGGATAGAAAAATAGCTTGAAGAGGGATCCAAGTGCAGAGAGAACTCTATCCCAGACCCTTAGAGGGTCTGTCGAAGACTAACTGGTCGTCCGATCGACCACTTCCTAGACTTGGAGCAATCGACGAACAGATCTAGACTTGGTCGAAATTAGAGCCTTCCAGGAGATCTCAGAGGAATCAAAATCCCATCTGCGGAGGACGCGTGGCGTGGCCTGATTGGCCCATATTGAATAACCGTCTCTAACACACCCCTAATGTGTGTTGTACTATTGGACAGGCCAGACAGAGGACAGCCAGCTCAGCTAACCCGGGCAGCTTCTAGAACATACACCACACCTCTATACATATGGGTGGGCTTTACGATTTTACACGTGATTTTCATTATACTCTGTGAGACCTGAGTTTTGGAGTGACATTGACTTAAACATCACAGGCTCTTCACCGACAAACCCCGGTGTGAGAGTTTTTGCAGGTACTCAGCGTTCTACCAGTGGGGAGGAGTTCGAGTAGGCCGTTTCCAGCCGGTTAGTAGGTTTTAACGTACCACCATCAAATAAAATTATCGAAAAATTTCAAATTTAAATAACCATCGTGTAGATATGAATTTAGAGTGATTTTCTCTCAACAAAATTAAATAGCTCCTTCAAGTTCGAGAAATAATTCTTCAGCAAGTTAAATTTATTCTTACTAAGTATTCTTTTTCTCTCTTTTTAATTTTGTTTTCTTGTTGTCATAATGAAGTGTCATTGGCTTTTTTAAGTCCAGTCTTAAATTTAGTTTAAAAATTATATTTTAGTTGAATGAATATATTTCAAAAAAAAAAAAAATGTTGTAAAAGCACTTAAAAAATAAAATACTTCTCATCATAATTTTTTTATTTAATATCAGCTCTAATTTTAGCCTGCGTATATTATAAATCCTTCCTTCACCAGTAATCGATAGAGCGAGTATCTTGACGGATATTTCGCAAATGCATAGACTGTACGAATATGGTTATACGGAAAAAATTCACGGTCCACATATTTACAAAATTTCACCCGCTAAGCCTTGAATTTCGGCTTACCATGTCACTGTCGCGTTTGTTTCAACTGTTGTCACCAAGCCGAAGATCGACCTCAAAGTCGGGTCATGAAGAGGGCAACCTGAAGATGATTCTGGGAAGAGATTCGGATATTCTCGAACTGGTTAAAATTCAGAATATTTTCCACGACATTGATCCAATCCAAAAAATCAGCACCCTCTATGCCGCCCGAAAATCCCCGTATATCAATTTTGAACCCCATCTCCCACCATCGATCTTCGGAAAGACGACCATCGTCTCGTGCTGCAAATGGCGCAAACGGTTCACCATGGAGAAGGTGCCGTCAGAGTCATCGTCACCAAAACACAATGGATGGGATCGAGATCGGGATCGGGGCACCCCCATGATGACACCTACCACGTCCACCGCGGCCTCCTCCACGACCATCACATATGACATCTGCAGCCAACACCATCTGAATTTCCACCACACTTGCCGCTAACGCCTTGAATGGCGGCCCACGATGGCGATCTCGGTGTTGCACTTGTAGTCCACAATGTCGTTACATGAGAGACACGATGTAGGGATCGTGTTTGATCTGTTGATATCAACTGACGTAGCGAAAACGTATCGACAAGAGGAAAATAGTTAAATAACAATGGAAATAAATGTAATATATAACTAGACTAATGATGTTAAACGATCATGTTTGTCTAGAAATGACAATGCAATTATTTGTTAAAATTATATTAGTGGATGGATAGTATTTTGTGAAAAATTATAATAATAATTATCATTGTTTGTAAATTGTATTGATGGGACTAAAAAAAATGAGATTAGATTTTTTTTATGTAAAAAAAAAGGTAATCGTTAACAACAATTAAATAAAGGGGCATTTTTTTTCTCTTGTCCAAATATTTTAGAGCATCTCCAATAGACTTCTTATTTTAGACTTCTTATTTGGAGAAATAAGGAGTCATCCTATATCCATTTGCTTCCTATTTTCTGTTGTTCTCCAAGAGTCTCCCTATTTTATAATTTGAATATGAACCAGACCCACAAATCTATCTAAAAGCCCACATGAAGCCCACTTGATATTGTAATTGTTAACGATTATAATAGTAGTTAACTAATTTTATAATATTCACTAATTTTTTTAATTATTATAATTAGTAATTTATTATTAATTATTTTTTATAATTTTTCCTTTATTAATATAATATTATTTCTTTTTAGATTATTATTATTATTATACTAATTGTTATTATAATTTATTAATTTTTAATCAAATAAATTATTTTTTTGAACAATTTTTATTTTTTTAATTTTTTTAATTTTAATTATTATTATTAGTAATTTATTATTAATTATTTGTTATATTTTTTCATGTATTAATATAATATTATTTCTTTTTAAATTATTATTATTATTATTATTATTATTATTATTATTATTATTATTATTATTATTATTATTATTTGAAATGAGGGGTCGTTTTTCCCTCC